GCAGCAACCGCTAATATTTATTTACTGGCTGATTATTACATGTCAAACTCTAACCCAAGTATTGTACATTGGCTATCTCATTTAATCCTTACAGTCCATCTATAAAGGTCACCTATTGTTTTATTTTGCAGATGAGGTTACTAAGATTTAATGATGCTTAAGTCACGCAACCCAGGTCACACAAGCAGCCAGGCTTACAGCCAAACAGAACTCAAAACCTGGTCTTTCTGAGTCCAAGACTATGCTAATAACCACTTTACTATACTGATTTTCCAGATATAATACCAGGATTGAATACTGAATTACTTTCCTGGTACTTATCTGACATCCTGAGATGGTTTCTTCATCTTCTTTTTACCTTCAGGGCAGAAGTTGCCCAAACAGCTAAACAATCAATGAACTCCTTACACTATACCCTATGTGGGCAGTTTCACACCTCCATGCCCAGCTGTCTGCACCCAAGTGCGCTCTGTTTCTCCCTCATCCAACCTTAAAGTGTTCATTTGCTTTGGAAAATACATGTTTTGAAAACACAGGTTTATATAAACAGGAAGTCTCATTAATTACTTTTGAAAATTGTCCCTAGGGCATTCCTTTCCTCATGATTCCCACTGTGATCACCTGTCTCGTCACTGCCAGTATTCTGCTAACTGATCTCCTTCATCTGGCCTCTTCTCTCATGTGGCCTGTGCACAGCTATCAGTTACATTTCCAAAACACTACTTTGATCATACCACACCCAGATCCTCAAACTACAGGAAAAAATAACCTTGTATCTAAGGCAATTAAGTTCCTCTTGTGTACTTTCGCTCACTTCGCCATGAGGCACTACTATAGATAATGTATTACTTGGTCCATGATTTATGAAAAGTCATGCTTATTCTGGCTTCTAAACCATGGGGCTCCTGCGGGATCTTTGAGAAACATTAAACCCCATTCTTTATACCTCTCCAAAGCCCGTGCAGCATTCCTGTCTTCTAATATGCCCCCATGCCTTTGAAACTCTGTTATCTCCTACTCCACCCCACAGTTTGGCACAGAATTAAAGACTACGGTGTTTAACAGTAAGTCTTTTCTTCCACCAAGTCATTTCTCTCTAAATGGCATGTTACAGGTGTTAAATACATGTCTAGAATTATCCCGCACCATCTGCACACACATTAATGTAGAATATACTTGCTATTCAATAAAATGTTTCTGTTCATATTTTTATATTAAAAATCAAAAATCTATTTGACCTCACCTATTATCTTAGATAAATATCATTAAAGATTTAAAAATGAAGCAGATGATTGCGATTGATTAAAGTGACATTGTGACTCTAATTTTTATATCAAATATAACTTCCTTTTGAGGTAATCAACTTTTTCTAAACCCATAATATTTCAAAACAAATTTTGAAAGTCTTCAAATAAAGTCAGTCTAGGGCAAATATTTCTGTTAAGTGAATAATATTTAGCTATTCTGAGTACAAGGTAGACTTAGGCTCAAGTCAATTACATGTGTGGCTTAGAAAGATGCACAGAGGTCAGAAGATCTAGCGTACTGGGCTCACGGTAGCAGACTGGAAGGGAGTGGGACAGGTCTGAAGCTTTCCTATAGATGCCTATGTATTTCATACAACATTTTTGCTGTGCTACCTAACGTGTCCTCAAGATAGTGGAGCCCCAGAGTGCTTTAGCAGAGCAGGCAGCCAGCTGTATGCTGAACTTGGAGCTCTAAAAGGCTCTAGCTACTCAGAAACACTTTCTCTTAGCTATCTTCACAGTGCCTCAAATGCCAATTTCCAGTAGTGAAAGCAAGTTAACCCACTTAAAATGCAAATGCATATTTATTGCTAGAAGGAAGGACACAAGTGGGAAAAAAACACTCCAGCCTCACCTACTTCCCAGTTTGCCTCAGGCCAGCCTGCTGAGAGGAAATCCTATATAACTTAAGTAAAGAACTAGGGTGTGCTATTCGTAGAACAAATACTAGAAAACTTTTGTGTCCTGATTCTCAAGACAATTCTCTGTACTTGAACATTCCACATTTTACGTTCTTTAATGTTTATGTTCTTTTCAATTTCCCCCCAGATGCTCCAAAGTATTTTCTTCAAATAGATGAATTTGATCATTCCATTTTTAAAGGGTATTGAAGTTTAGTCATCGGGGGGCCCTGGCACAGGGCATAACAGATGACTTAAAGTACTACATAGAACTGATCTGCACAGATTTGTAAAAACTTTGCCAAATGGAATTACTCCAGTAGGATATCCTTCGCCCATAGAGGAGATATGAGGGCAAGTATTTTCCTAGAAATCTACTCAGAACTGCCTACCTTAACAGCAATTAAAACTTCATCAAACGCAGTAATAGTAGAAGAAAGAAAACGCTGACTTTTCAAGCAGGTGTTTAAGCTATATTTTGTAAACAAACGTCACTGTAAACACCTTCTTTAATTTAACACAGGAGAAAATCAATTCTGGGTATTGAATTTGCGATTATTGATCTACCATTTCTAAATACTTGGTGGAAATAAAAGTTACCACAGTTCAGACTGCTTTTATAATCAGCAAAAGTATACCCCCTCCAATATATTCTAGTTTTACTAAATTCCCATTTGCATTATGATTAATTTAATGGAGATTTGGAGGTAGAGAGGTAGATTTATTAAATTTATTTCAGTCTCTCAGCAACGGAAGAAAAATGATCAAGGTTTACCAAACCTGACAATTTAAAAAATAGTATCATATACCTATTTTCCTTTTTGACTTTGTTTTTAATTTTTTTCTTCACCTGAAGGAGTTATTTAAGGCAACTTCTCCCAGTGAAACGGTGAAATATTTATGAGGTTTATAAACAACAAACTCAGAAATAGAACCAAAAGCCTTTGAAATTAAGTATTTCAAGTAAGTTTTCTTGTGTTAATGTTACTTTTTTATCACCAAGAGCATCACAGGCTGAGAAAAACACTTTAGTTTCATTGAGAATATTTGAAGAACTTACTTACTATTAAATTCCTTTTTTATCAAACACTACAACAGTCATTTGAACAGATTTTTTGTTCAGATCCTTTGTGTATTAGTCATAATTTCCAACCTTAACAAGTCATTTAGATTTAAGGTGCTGCCAAAACACTCCTTGCCCACGGCAAGGACCTGCTTAAGTTTAACATTTAAAAAGAGTGTCACCGAGACATGATTTTACCTCTAAATCATGTAATACATCCTTTTTGATAGCACACTGGTTTACATCACTACAGTGGAACTATCTATAACTAAAAATCACCAAAATTATGAGACACACACACACACACACACACACACACACACACCATAAAGAGAAAGTTAGAGAGAGAGAGAGAGAGATTTGTTCCATAATCCATTTAAAAACTGTGGTTAGATGAAACTGATACGTGGGTCAAAAGTGAAAGGAAAGTAAGAGAATAGACTTTTTTATAACAACACTTAACCTTGGAATAGGCTGACATATAAATATTTGAAATAAATACCCTATCTTGATATGACTTCAGTTTTTCCTTTGAGGCAGATAATTTTAGAATCTTTTAAAAAAAACTTTCTGTAATTTTCAAGTTACTTTAGGTATTAGATGACCTCTTCTAAATGAGGGAAATAGAAGAAAATAAACTTCCTCTGCAAATCTGTATTAGTGAGATCATGAATAATTCACCTGCAAATTATTTGTGTAGTGGCAAGTTGGCATCAAGTGTGTTGTAATCACCCTTTTTGAAAATCTCAGAAATGTCATTAATGGCTATTCAAAAGTGCATTAGTAATGCTGTGTAACAAATTGACCCAAAACTTCAGCTACATTTATTACATCATGGTTTCCATGGACAACAAATTTTGCTGCTGCTTAGCTGGATCTTCTGGCTCACTCCTTGTCATTGTTGGCAAGATTCTGTTCCTTGTATGCTGTGAAACTGAAGGCTTCATTTCTTGCTGACTATTGAAAACTCCTTTAGTTTTCTACTTTAGAAGCCTTTCCACAGGGAAGATTACAGCATGGCAACTGTCTTCCTCATAGCAGGTAAGAAGAGCCAGAAAAGGAGAGAGTAAAAAGGAAACAGAAAAGTAATGTTTTTCTATAGCCTAATCTTAGAAGTAACATTTCATCACTTTTACCATATTCTATTCACTAGAAGCAAATCAGTAGGAACTTGGTATACATACAAGAAGCAGCATCTACACACACAAGAACAAGAGTATCAGGAGGCAGGAATCACTGGGACGCATTTTCAAAGCAGCCTATGACACTACAATGAAGAGTTCAAATCAATGTCTTAAAATGTATAAATCATGCCTGAATTATTCTTCCACAACAAAAAAAATTCTCTTTCATAAGTCAAGCTTTGGCTACGTATTTTAAGAATAGTTCGTTAAGATACTTCAGAAGATATGATCATATAACTGACAAATAGTATATGAAAAATTTATACACACAAATTATACATATATCCTCTGTCTCCTCTAATCTCGATGTCTTCCTGTCTCTGTCTCTCTGTTTCCGTCTCTCTCGCAGAAACACACACATTATCATTTTTGCTAAGCTCTTTGATAACAAATTTTAGTGCTCATATGAGAACCTCACAACATAATTTTTTTATTTTCTCATCATTTGTGCAAATGCTGTCATGTTTTACATCTACATATGGAAAACCACAACATATTATTATTTTAAAAGACAGTAGTCTTTCAAAAAATAAGAAGATAAAAAAGTTTATCTTTTCTATTTATTTCAAAAAAAAAAAGTTTAGGTTTTTTATAATTTAAGGGTTATTTGCTGTATTCATTTATAAAATGCTTGATACCTCACTGAATATACAGCTTTCTTTAAGATATTCTTAAATGTTTTATAAGACAGTATAATAGAAGCTAACATTTATATAGTACTTATGTGACCATCCCTGTTATATATAGAAATATTTCTATATATAACAGTGCTATATATTGAATATAATATTTAAATATAATATATAAATATAGACCATACATATAGAAATATATATAGTATATGTGTATTAATATATACATATCCTTATATATCCTATCTTGTTTCTTTTTTACTCTTAATATTTGTCCAATAATTGGTGCTTCAGGAACTGCTATTTCTTTTACTTCTAACTTTTTTATTATTAAAAATTTCAAAACTCTTCAGAAGTTGAAAGACTAATGTAATAAATATCTATAACTGCTTTTCCTAAATTTATACATACATACACATATTCACACATACATCCTATCATATATACACATATTCTCATATATCCTTCTTACTAGTATATGTATTATGCAGGTATTATCATTAATATTAATGTAATCCATAGGCATTGTAATTAAACTCATTTGAAACTAAGACATAGACAGGTTAAGTAATATGTCCAAGATTACACAGCTAGTAAGTAATGGAGTCAACTTTCAAACACAGACTATTAATCTGGCTTCAGAATTCCTGCTCTTGACCACTACACTATATGTTCATGTAGTTATGATGATAAACCAATAGTCAGAATTATTTTCCTTTTCCTTTTTCTACTCTTCCATCTCTCAAGTTCCTGTTCATTAATAATTAATAATTCACCAAAAAATATTTTACACTAACTAAATTCCAGCACTATATTAGGTGTTGGGGAAAAAATGTTGTCTTCATAAATATGAAGCTTTCTTTATGCTTTTCTTAGGATCTTCCCATTTTTTGGAGATGGAGTTTCACTCTTGTTGCCTGGGCTGGAATGTGATGGCTTGATCTCGGTTTACTGCAAACTCCGCCTCCCGGGTTCAAGCAAATCTACTACCTCAGCCTCCTGAGTGGCTGAGATTACAGGTGCCTACCACCATGCCTGGATAATTTTTGTATTTTCACTAGAGACAGGGTTTCATCATGTTGAACAGGCTGGTCTTGAACTCCTGACCTCAGGTGATATACCCACCTTGGCCTCCCAAAGTGCTGGGATTGCAGGGGTTAGCCACTGTGCCCAGCCCCCTTGTTTTTATTTATATTTTTCTTTTTTTATCCTTTAGGATCTGCTTTTCCTTTTACTTCTAACCCTTTTTAAAAAATTTCTTCATTTTACTTTAAGTTCTGGGGTACATGTGCAGATGCTGCAGGTTTGTTACATAGGTATACACTTGTCATGGTCGTGGTCTGCTGCATCCATCACCCCGTCATCCACATTAGGTATTTCTCTTAATGCTATCCCTCCGCAATCCCCCTACCCCCTGCTATTCCTCCCCTAGCTCCCCATCCCCCAGGCCCTGGTGTGTAATGCTCCCCTCCCTGTGTCCGTGTGTTCTCATTGTTCAACACCCGCTTATGAGTTAGAACATACAGTGTTTGGTTTTCTGTTCTTGTGTCAGTTTGCTGAGAATGATGGTTTCCAGTTTCATCCATGTCCCTGCAAAGAACATGAACCATTCTTTTTTATGGCTGCATAGTATTCCATGGTGTATATGTGCCACATTTTCTTTATCCAGTCTATCATTGATTGGCATTTGGGTTGGTATCAAGTCTTTGCTACTGTGAACAGTTAGAGAAAGGCAAATCAAAACCACGTTGAGATACTACGTCATGCCAGTTAGAATGGCAATCATTAAAAAATCAGGAGACAATAGATGCTGGAGAGAATGTGGAGAAATAGGAACACTTTTACACTGTTGGTGGGAGTGTAAATTAAATCAAACATTGTGGAAGACAGTGTGGCGATTCCTCAAGGATCCAGAAATACTTCTAACCATTTTACTATTAAAAATTTCAAAACCATAGTAAAGTTAAGACTGATGCAATAAATGCCTACACATTTTTGTCCTAAATTCAACAACTGTTAAAATTTTACAAATCCTCTTTCTTGCTTAATCTCTCTGTCTCTTTCTGCCTCTGTCTCTCTGTTTCTCTCTCTCACACACACAAATACACACGTTATCGTTTTTGCTAAGCTAGTTGATAACAGATTTAGTACTTTATATAAAATATGAGAACCTCATGATATAATTTCATTTTCTTCTCATCCTTTGTGCAAATGTTGTCATATTTTACATTTATATATAGGAAAACCCATGATATTTTATTATTATTTTAAACAGATAGTAGTCTATCTAAAAAAATAAGAAGACAAGAAAAGGTTATCTCTTCTATTTATCTCAAAATTGATCACTTCCAGTGCTCTTCATTCCTTTCTGCAGATCAGAATTTCCATTGGTGTCACTTCCCATAGCATCAAGAACTTCCTTTAGCGTTTCTGGTGAAACAAGTCTGCCATTGATAAACTTTACCAGTTGTTATTTATCTAAAAATGTATTTATTTAACTCTTAATCTTGAGAGTTATTTTATCAGGAAATAAAATTCTGAGTTCAGTTTTTACAGCCTTTCAACATTTTGCAGATGTCATTCCAATGTTGCCCATACTCCATTAATTCTCATGAGAGATCAGCTGTGTTCCATATTATTGTTCCTATGTATGCAGTGATATTTTACGTTCAACACTATCATGTCAGATTGCAATGGTTCTTTGTTAGATAATAGAGTTTTCTTTCAGAGGAAACTTTCCAAAGCCTAGCGTGGAGTCACTTCTGAGGAACTATTTGACAGATGAGTAAATGAATGAATGAATGAATGAGATTGGTACTATTGCCAAGACAAAGGCTCTGTTTGTTAAGATCAGTATCTAATGTAGAGTTATACTAAGAGAAGAACATAATACATGTAATATTTTTCTACATAACTATCAAATTTAAATCACAGTTAAATTAATAACCATAGTATTCTGAGTAAGTACATTTTAATAGAAAAAGTAGTTTCTAAAGAGATAAAAGAAAAAGGTATTAATAAAGAATATTTCTTTCATCCCAGAGATAGTGATTTCAATGACACTTTCATTTTAGAGAAAAAAAAATAGATACAAACAATAGTTTTGGCCTCTGAATAACAAGGTTGTATGAATTAATGATGTATATGACACAGATTATTCTGGTTCTAAAGGACTGTTGTATAACATTCTGGTTCATATAATTAGTGTTTTCTTTTTAGGGAATACTTTCAAGCCATTGAATTTACTGTCTTTGTAGCTGACATTCAATCAGAATTTTTTAAAAGCAAAAGTTTAAGAAATGTTAAGATTATTATATGTTAACAAAAATAAAAGATTAACTCCACTTGATACATTGGTCATTTAGCCAACATATGGTACTGATGAAGAAAAAAATCAGCTTCTATATAAAACAGGGTGCCACCTATGGAAAAAAGAACTATACGTAGTCCTTCTACCTTAGATTATGTGCCTTAATACCAAAATACTTGATAATACAACATAATAATTAAATAAATCGTCAGCAATTTCTTATCGTCCCTTACTCCCAAGCTTCAAAAGCGTTCTTAAAAGTCACTCTTCCTTTCTAAAACCTTTTTAAACCCTCAATTAAGATCAGTGGATTTGAATTAAGTTGAAATTCCTAATAATAGTCTTCATTTTATAAGTCATATATTAATGACTTTTATCCTTATACAGAAAAAGGTTTCTTACACTTCACCCCCCACCCCGCACCACAAGCATTCACATGTATTAATTTAGAAAACACATTAAACTAGTCTTGTGGAATAACTAGGCTTCCGATTTATTTCAAAGTAAAATTCAGAGAGTTGACTTAAGTCAACAGATGGTTTGGGGCTTGTTTAAAGAAGAAATGATCTCACTCCATATGTAAGCTTGTGAGACATGCAATCAACTGCTGCACTTTTACACATAATTTCTAGAATCCCATTTTAAGAAACTGCAACCAGGGAATATTCAAAGGAGACCCAGTAACTGGAGCTTTGGCACCTTACAGAGTAGCCAAGCCCTTATTAGCCTACCTTGCTGATCCTTTCTAAATCAAGTGACTTGAAGTTGCTGCTATTTTGATGTTAAGTTTATGCTAAATCATTTTAATTAGTTCTGTTGGTAGCTATTTTAAGCAAGTTAATTAGCTATTTTTGTACCTCTGGGCCATTAAAGTTAAAAAAAAAAACAGTCCTTTATATCCTTTAAAGAATTAAAATAATCACTTACGCAAAATTATTCTCAGACAATTATTTTATATGGGTTGACAATATTTCTCAGAGTGGCAACCAGGATGGCTGACATGCTTTATCCATCTAGCTCTGCTCTTCTTTTGGCTGGTCTATCTACAGTGCATTTACCAATTCCACCAGCTTTCCTCGGAGTGTAATGACTTTCCTTGTACTCTGTTAAAAATATATCCCCACAAATCAAGAAGAAGCAGATTCAGACTAAGTGGCTGAGAAGATTTACATTCTATTGCTAACCCAGTTATTACTCTGCTGAAAACCCCATAGCATCAATATAATGAATCCCTCAACTTCTGCAGCAAGTACAATTTTTCTTTCCAACCTCATTGGCTCCCAACTTTCTGCTTGACCTTTTACAATCTGTGTGCAGCAGAACTTCATTACAACCTTTTAATGATGCACAAATGGCACACAACACCAAGGTCACAGAAGATCCCAAGTGAAAACTTTTCAAACATCACCAGAATAGATAGTGAGACCTCATTTAAGAGACAAAATAACTGTATGGAGAAATCATACCTTATAATTCAGTATATCTCCCAAGGACTGATAAGGCAAAATGTTGACAATGTGGTAAACTGAATAACTACCTTCAACAAACATTTTTTAAGAGGAAGAGAACCTTATTTCCCAAGCTCTCAGCGGCTAAGAGATTCTAAATGGCTCCTTAGGTGTCCTATCTCAGTGCTAGAAGGCTAATAGCTTTCATTATGTAACTCACAACACTGATGTAAGCTCAACAAACCAACACTCTTACATATTTTTTTTAATCAGCTTGAGCCAGCAAAAAGCACCTCACAATCCCATTGTAACATAAGTTGAGGATGTGAAAAGCACAAAATTACAGCATGGTTCTTCACATGATTGATTGACTGAAAGTGGGGGAATCTTGAAGGCGTAGGAGTAAGCAAGTTGAATTGTAGGGCAGGATGAGATGTGGCAAGAGAG